TACTCCATATCTGATTATGTCAAGGTCATCGTCGTGGTATATGCTTTATCAAAAATTTTTGAGACGTCACCAGTGGGGAGACTAGGTAAAGGGTACACGGGACCTTTATTATTTCTTAAAATTGCCTGTGAATTATCTAAAAAGATTAGGACTGAAAGTGTGGCTCAAGCAGTAGAGTACCTGCCTCGAAATCACAAAGTTCTGAGTTCAAACCTGGATACCACCCAAGAAAAGAAATAAAAAAGTTTAATATGAAAAAAAAAAAAGACAAAACCATGGTAGCAGGATGGTGAGGATGCTATTATTTAGAGAGGTTACATTCTGGGCTCTAGTTCCCAATTTCTCACTGTGGAAGGCCCTTTTTAGGACAGTGTCCTCCAGCACTCAAGGAGGCTGTACCTGAACCTCATTCGACCCGTTTGTGAAACATTCATAAAAGGACAAACGGGACTGGACTGAACAATTTCCTTACTTACCACCAGCCCTGAAGCAGGTGCAGCTGGTGCCTGGGCTTGCCATACAACAGCCTTGGCCTTCTCACAGCAAGGCTACAAACACCAAATTTGTGGCCCAGGGCATTACAAATGACTATTGATTGGGTCATTGGGCCTTTAGTTTGCTTCCAAGCTTAAGATGATAAAAGTTCCACCATATGAGCTATTAGTGGGAGAGAATGAGTATTATGCAAAGACAACTGATGACAAGACATGATTTCTATTTGGCCTTTTAAAATCCTGAAAATAGCTAGAAGACAACTCTACTGGCCTAGAGAGTTCATGCAGGTGGCTGAGGCTGGGACTAATGGACAGGACAGAGAACAGCTATTCTGAAGAGTTAAAAGAAGTCATATGCTCAGTGCTGACCACAGCCAACCCAAGAAATGCCTCCCTCCCACATAAGAGACTGGGACTTGAAAAGCAGACCTGTACCCTTGGGGTTCTCAGGGCCTGCAAATGAGAGTGCTCCCTCCCTCTCCTGCTAAACACTTTCCATTTTGTAGACAGAATAGGAAGCACATGCCAAAGAGAAGCTTCAACTCTTCATCCAGCCCCAGGATGGGGCTTTTGCTCAGCTCTTCAATGCACATTTATCTGGCAGTAACTAGTCTCATGCTCCCATCCATCTATCCTGCTACTTTCCCCATTTTAAGATTGTCATTTTCTATCCTGAAGTACCTAAAACCCAACTGCAGATTTGCCAGAAGTCTCAGACATTTCTCTCTGCCTCCCAACTTGCAACCCCGCAGATGGCCACATGCTCCGGACCCTGGCTGCCCAAGACCTATAATAGAACAGGCAGCACAGGCTGTCTGTGGGAAAGTTGCAAAGGCAACAGCAGCCATAGGACTGACATGTCATAGATGCCTCCTCACATGCTGTCCTGCCAGCTGAGAGCAGGCGGAGACCCTCATCCATGTCTATAGAATTCTGTCAGTTGGTGGGAGAGAAAGAAGCCCCATAGCCTTAGGGGCTGTGAAGCCTCAGCCACAGAGGCAGTTTTACTCTGGAGCCACTCTAGGTCTTCCACCTCCCAGAAGGGGCCAAACTGAGGGGCCCAAGACAACAGGCCCATGGCACAGTCACAAGTCCTACAAGAGTCCCTGGGCATCCAAAGGCCCTGGAGGGTGACACTCTTTTCTGGGGTGGCTTAGAAGTCAGGCAGCTGCCCACGTGGCAGGTACAGGGGCATGCCTGGCTTCTAGATGTGCCCCTGAAGCTGAAGTGCTGTACCCACAGGGGCCCATAGGCAGCCAGCCCTGAAATCGGGGTCTAGGGAGGCTTGAACCACTACAGAGGCTGGGCTGATTCAGCTGAGCAGGATCCCACAGTCAGCTGGGTTGTACCTGTAGGATCCAGGCCACCTAAAGCAGAAAGGCAGAGGAGGGACGGGACAAAGGGAGAGGTGACTCCCATATACAAAAACTAATACTGCCTACTTTTCTTGTTGGGGTCACCATCCTCCTGTGAATGCCTTAAATACAGGTCACTTTCTGTCACTGAGGTTCCAAGCAGTTGATGCCAGCCCTTTGCAAGGGCCCATGCCTCAGGGACTCTGCCATAGTAAATCATCAGAAACCCAGTGGCTTAAAAACTACACATATTTCTTATCTTACATCTCCGGAGATCAGCAGTCTGGTTTCAGGACTAAAATCAAGGCCATGTTCCTCTCTGGAGACTCTGAGGGAGAATCTGCTGCTTCTTCCCCAGGTTGGCAGAATTCAGTTCCTATAGCTGTAGGACCAAGGACTCCATGTTCTTTCTGGCTATAAACTGAAGCCTGTTTCCAGCTTTTAGAGGCCACCTCATTTGTTGGCTCATGGCCCATAGTCTCCAAACTTAAGGCCAGCAAGGGCTGGTCCTTTGCAGGTCAGGACTGGAGATCATGTTGGGCCCACCCAGGTAACCCAGGATAAGCTCTCATTTCAAAGTCCTTAACCTTAATCGCATCTGCAAAATCGCCTTTGCCATGTAAAGTAATTCATTCACAGTTTCAGGAATTAAAGCTGGGTCATTATTCCGCCTGCCACTTTATCTTCATTTTGCAGTCCTGAAAACTGAACCCAGAGAGACTAGATGACTCACCCAAGGTCTTACTGTAAATGTACATGTGAGGCCAAGCCAGGCCTCACACCTGAGACTCCAGTCTATTATTGCTGACACTGCAGCATATGCCATGACTAGTCTCCCAGCCTAGTGGCACACAGACAGGACACTTGTCTATCAAGTAACACCGTTGTCACTTGTGCCCAGCACTGGGTGGGGGCAGAGAGAAGTACAGAGGCAAGAGGATCTCAAATTTGAGTCAGCCTAGACTACATAGTGAGACCCTGTCTCAAAAAAAAAAAAAAAAAAATCAGAGCACAAAACCTTGCTTTTTCTTTTTTTTTTTTTTTTTTAATGGTACTGGGGTTTGAATTCAAGGCCTCAGCGCTTGCTAGGCAGGCGTTCTACCACTGAGCCACTCCGCCAGCAGCCTTGCTTTCTCTATGGTGAGCTGCTCTACAGCCCATGACTTGGTTGAAAGAGGCAAGTGAAAAGTGACCAGATTTCAGGCCTGTGAAAACCAAGGAAGATAGGCCTCAAAAATAACAGGTCACTTAAACAAACCCTCCTTCTGTCCCTAAGCTTATGATCCTGCTCCCTCCACATGTGCTGGGGGAGCTGTCAGGCTGGCCAAGTACTTCTCAGATCAGGGTCTAAGGATATACCTGCAGACATCAGCTTCCCACCAACCTCGACATAGAACTTTGGGCAGGAGCAGTTCCTCTGAGGTGGGGGACTGTCGCCTGTATCTTTGAGTTTCCAGGACACAAAAATGGGAGACACCTAGTCAAATCCCTGGCAGGGCAGCAGTTACTGTAGAAACTAAAGACAATTGTCTTCTGGTGCCACATCTTTGCTGTGAAGCAGCCCCATGGTGAGACAATACTTAACCTGCGCCCACACCAGAGGAAAGCAATCAGAGCCACACTACAGCTCAGAGGCTTCTGCTGAGCAGTGGAGGTTCAGTCAGAATGGCCTCTCTCACTCCCTCTCCAGCTCCCCCACACAGGGGGTTGGGAATCCAGAATATGAGGGTAGACATTCAGCTACCCGCTCCCACCAAACACACACACACACACACACACACACACCCCACCCCCCACCCCCCAGCGTGAGGCATGGAACCAGGGGCAACCCTGGTGTATGAGAGAGGGCAGTTATGAGGCCACTTGGCTGAGACGGCACTGTTAATGTACCTGCAGGTGTCAGGTAAAAGCCCATAGCTCGACTCCCAACCTGGCCCCTCTCCCAACCTGCACACAGCCATCCACTCTGGGCAACAAGCTCAGGCAGTTCTTCCCAGCCCTCTACAGCCCTGTCCCTTCAGCTTGGCCACCATGGCTGGTTTGTATGGAGGGAAACAGGCATCCAGGAGGCAGCGAGCCCCTTCCTGCCCTTAGGGCAGCAGCCATGTGTGAGCTGAGCTTGCTACAGTACCCAGGCATCACTAAATGTCACAAGGAAGGCCAGGAACTAGGAGACAAGGACAGAAAGAACAGACTTCCTTAACACAAACAGGAAGTCTGTGAAAGAGACACTGGGAAGGTATGTGTCTGACATCAGAGACTAAGACCTCAGCTCTCACCTGCCATCTCTGCCCACTGTTCTAGCCCCGGGAATCATGGCAGCCTCAGCTCCACAGGAGACCCTTTGTCTGTTCAGAAATCAACCAAATCACCCCAACAAAGAGGATGCATGGTGAAGTAAAGCTGTGTCATCCTCGGGGGTTGGCCTGGCAGGTCCAAGTGTTCTGTTCCTTCCAGAAACTGGCAGTCAGGATTCCAGCTCAGCATGCAGTGCTCCACATGCACCATTCCTGCTAACGAGGCATAAACACCAAACACCAGGAAGAATTACTGAGGACTGAGGAGCAGGAAATTCACCAACCTGGGGTGGGGCAGGCAGAGAACAAGGACCACCAGTCAGCTCATAAGCCTCTACAGAAAGTGCTAGAAGGAAAGGGGCCCTGGAGTTGACATAAAAAAGAAGGGTTAGGGGCATGGCTCAGCAATAGAGCACTTGCCTAGTATGAGAGGGCTTGGGTTCTACCCCTAGCACTTGCAAGATACTTTAAGTGTCCCACCCCACAGCCAGGGAGGGCAACAAGCACCTTAGAAATGTAGCCCACCAAGGAGGAAGAACAAGGAAGGTTGACCCCCTTAAAGAGAATTCCCAACTGCAGAGCTAGGGACAGACAGGTTTGGGTACATGTGTGCATGCACACACAGTCATTAAGCTTCCCACAGCCAAAGGAGCTGGAGGGAATGAGCAAGACAGTCTGTCTGAGTGCCCAGTGACAACAGAATTTTCCTAAGAAGCCAGAAACCATTTAAATGAAGGGAAGTGCACAAGGTACAGCTGAGGCACATGTGATCTAGGAAAGATGGCACTGAGACCTGTGGCTAGGCAAATGTTCCTCTCCACACCTCTACCCACTAGTACGGAGGCAGGAGCCCAGGCAAGAGGCACGATGAATTTTTGGAGCAAGGTTTAAATGGACTTTATTGTTAAAAGCAGGAACCCACCGAGCAGGGGCAAAGTGGTCCCAGATGTCACCATGGAAAAATCGAGGTCATGATTGCAGAAGAGGTGACTGAAATTAAATGACATGATCCAGGGGTGTCCAGCCAGGAATGCAGGAGACATAATCAGGATGGCCGGCGAGGGTGATCTGGTCACAAGGTGAGGGGGAAGATAGCCCCCTTCATTCCCGCTTCTTGTAGCTCTCCAGATGTGACAGGACCCAGCCCGCAGGCAGGAAGACACACAGGAAGCAGGAGGTGAGCCCAATGGCGACATCCTAAAGAGCACAGGAAAGAAGCATCCTCAGGCACTTGGAAGTCCTAGCAGTTTTCAAGCTCAGAAAGTCCCTGTCAGGGAGCCCACATTAAGAAAAACCCACATGCGTCTGGTGAAGTGGCTCAAGTGCTGACTAGCAAGCACAAGGCTCTGAGTTCAAACGCCAGTACCACCAAAAAAAAGAAAAGAAAAAGAAAAAATCACACACCACATGAGCCTAGCCAATTCCCACAACAAAAACAGAAATAGAGACAGAAAGAGAGAGACAGAGAGACATGCTGTGCTCCAGAAGGATACATTGCAGATCCAAGGCCCACTCTAAACCTTGACATAAAAGGTCAGTTTCAGAGAGGGGGACAAGTTACAGGAAGGAGGGGCAGCCAGGTTAGGATCCAGGAAGTTAATCACCCAATGATAAAGTGAAGGATTAAAACTTGTTTTTGCCAGGTGCAGGAGGCAGAGATCAGGAATATCTTGGTTCAAGGCCAGCCTTGGCAAATAGTTTGTGAGACCCTATCTCAAAAAATACCCAACACAAAACAGGGCTGACAGACTGGCTCAAGTGGTAGAGCACCTGCCTAGCAAGAATGAGGCGCTGAGTTCAAACCCCAGTACCACAAACAAAACAAAACAAAAACTTGTTTTCAGGCTGGTCTGCTGAGACCTGGAGACCTTGCATACATAGATCACTAACTGGACCTCCATTCCTTGCCTTACACCCCCTCCCTTCACACTGCCCCTCTGGACTGTGACTAGGGATGATAAAAGCAGTTTTGGTTTTGTTTCTTGTGGTGCTAGGAATGGAAGCCTCATGCATGCTACGAAAACACTCTACCACTTAAACCATGCCCCCAACCCACCACTAGCCCTTTCTAAAATTTTTAAATTTTTAAGTAGTCTCACTAAGTTGTCCAGGCTGGCCTTGAACTTTAGATCCTCCTGCCTCAGCCTCCCCAGTGCTGGAATTACAGGTGTGGGCCACTACTAGGCCAGGGGAAACTGTAACTTTGAATAAGACAACACACCACTCCTAAATTTCAGTTCTCTCAAGCTGGAAATGGACGTAACCATCCTTCTCCTCAAGGTAAGTGTTAGAGAGGCCAAAATGAGACCAATAAAGCAGTTTTAGCACAGTGCTGCTGGCACTCAGCAGATGCCAGTCACAATGACTGTCATTCTTTCTGCAATGTTAGAGAGGTGCTGGGATCCAACCCAGGGCCTCCCTCACACGTGCAAAACATGCTCTAACACTGAGCTGGACTACAACCTAGTCCTGTTGTTTTATTTTGCTTCTGAGTCTCACTATATTGCCCAGGCTGGTCAGAACTTCTGGACTCTGTCTCCCTGCCTCAGCCTCCCCATTAGCTGGAACTACAGACGTTTGGGTCTTGATTATCATTACTCTTGCCTCTATTACACTTCTCTCTGGCACTGCTCCTAACTCAGTGCCCACCAACCTGGATTTTGAGACTGACATTCAGGACCGAGTTCTGTCACTGACGTATATATAAAACTCCAAACACAGCAGAGGGCTGGTGGCTCACGTCTGTTAATCCTAGCTACTCTGGAAACTGAGATTAAGAGGATCGCAGTGTGAGGCCAGCCCGGGCAAATGCTTCAGGAGACCCCCATTTCCAAAATAACCAGAGCAAAATGGTCTGGGGTGTGGCTTAAGCGGTAGATCCCCTGCTCTGCAAGCGAGAAGTCCTCAGTACAAACCTCAGTACCATCGAAACAAATAAAAACCAAACCAAACAAACAAAAAAAACCCCAAACAGGTGAAAGATGTCAACAAGGGCTAATGCTCCTACATTTCTGGACTCCCAAAGACCTGTCGAGATCCCCCTCCCTAACAATAAATAGCGGTTTAAAAAAAAAAAGTAAAGTAAAATAATAGTAATAGATAGCGGTAACCACTAATGACGTCGCTGACAGTCTCAGGCGTCCCGCAATAAATAGATGATTAAACGGGCTGAGAAGGCTAAGGAAGTTTGCTCAAGGCTGCGTAAGCGGTAAGGCAGGGACACCTGAGATCGTGTGCTGATGAGAGAACTCAGACACTGTCCCCTCGTTCGCGCCCACCACCCCGCCACCCACCCAAGCACTGCTGCTTCCAGCTACGCTGCGGCGCCAAATACAGGGCATTCAGAGGGCTGCTCTAGTTCCAGCATGCCACATTGGGCTGAGCCGAACCCATCACGGGACTCAGGGGAACTCCAGTGCCCTTCCCGGCCTGCCCCTCACCATGGTCCCGAGCTGCTCCCGCGGCGGTTTGGAATGGACCTGGGCGCGCGGCATCGCGAGCCGCCGGGCCGAGCCTGTCAGGCCCCTCAAAAGTAGTGGCGTCAGGACAGACATGACTACACGAGTGACCAAAGACAACAGCAAACCGGAGCCAAGGTCAGGAAGTCAAGATGGCTGCGCCGGCCGGAAGTTCCGGAGCTGGGGAGGCCGGGAAAGGGACGCCCGGAAGTCTCATGGAAATGACGCAAGGACACGCCTCCACCAGCCGCTGTCAGATTTTGGCGCGTTTACCGAAGTAGCCAATCGACGCCGTCCTACCGATGGGCAGCGCATAGAAGAACGTTCTTTTGGTTTTGTCCCGTCCCCAGACGGTTTATCTTGATAAGTGACATTTAGGGTAACCCAATCACGTAAGCGAGAAGTGCAGACTGCATTTTTAACTCCTCCCTCCATTCATAGTCTTACATCTATTTAGACAGTCTCGCCCCTAGATCTCCATCTTTTCTGGTTTGAACTGCTAACAGAGTTTTTACCATTTACTATTACCCTCTCCGATTCCAGTTTGCGTGCAATGGAAGCCAACTTTTTTTCCTCCTTTCCTCCCTTCTTTATCCAGCTCTAGCTCTCCCTCCCTTCTTCCCCTCCCCTCTCTCTCTCCCCTCTCTGCTTCCCTCCTAACCTTGCATTTCTATTCAGTTTTTGTTTTGTTTGTTTTTGGCGGTACTGGGGTTTAAACTCAGGGCTTTTCACTTGGTAGGCAGGAGCTCTACCACCTGAGCCACACCTCCAACCCCTCGCATTTCTAAACTCATCTAGCCAAATCATACACTTTCAGTGCTTCCACACTGCTTTTTAGACAAGTCTTAGTTCCTGGATGTCACTCTCCAGTCTAATCTCTCAATGTTCCACACCTTTGTTCTTGTTCTTAGTCTTCCCTCCACCCCTCCAAGTTTTTTGTCTCTTTGCACTTTATTTTCTACCTAAAACACCTAAGTTGCCTAGTTTCCCCTTTTCACCATGTTAACTCCACTTCCTGGCCTCCATATACTGATACAGCTTACTTTATTCAATGAATATTTATGAGCCCTGACTGTGTGCTAGGAACTGTTGTAGACACCAGTCATGGACAAGATGGACAAGGCCTCTCTTATCACAGAACTCACATTTGGAGGAAAAGAGCAGACATATACGCTAGGAACTGTTGTAGACACAGTCATGGACAAGATGGACAAGGCCTCTCTTATCACAGAACTCACATTTGGAGGAAAAGAGCAGACAATAAACAAGCACTTAATGATTAACTACCTATGCTCTATGGTGAAAATAAAACTATGATATGCTAGGAAGTGACAGGGTGACAATGCTCCATGAAACATCCACTGGCCTGTGCCACTCCAGCAGCACCTGTGGTATTGGGGTTTGAACTTAAGAGATTATTCACACTTGCTAAGCAGGCGCACTACCACTTGAGCTACTCCACCAGCCCTGTTTTGTGTTGGCTACTTTCAAGATAGGGTCTCTCAAACTCTTTTCCCAGGCTAGCCTCAAACTGTGATACTCCTGATTGGTGCCTCCTAAGTAGCTAGGATTATAGGCTTGAGCCACCAGTGCCTGGCCACATCAATCTTTATGAACTCCTGGAGACTGAATACTTGAATACTTTCGAGTAGGTAGAAGGCAATGCAGAAAAGAGAATGTGGGGCCAGTCACAGAGTCAGGGTTTACCTGTACATTCTCATTCTGTTGTCACAAAAGTGGCCTGAAGAAGATGCTATTATTCCGATATTTTGCAAATGAGGAAGCAGGCATGGGCAGCTGGCTGATCTGCTCAAGATCATGCAGCCACAAGGCCACTGAGCCAGGACTCCAGGGCATCTGTCTGCTCCAAAGCCATGCTTTCAACCACTACACAAGCTGCTGCAGAGTTTTCAGAAGCTCCAGTGTTTTGTCTTGTTCTGTTTTGAGACAGTGTTACTATGTAGCTCAGGCTGGTCTCCATCTCAAGATCCTCCTGCCTCAGCCTCCCAAGTTCTGGGATGACAGACATGAACCACCACACTCCAAGCCTGACCAGAAGCTCCAGGTTTTCTTTTTTTCCTGGGGTTTGAACTCAGGACTTAGCATTTGCAAACCAGTGGTTATACCACTTGAACCACACTTCCAGTTCATTGTGCTTTGGTTATTTTGGAGATGGGATCACATGAAGTATTTGCCCAGGCTGGCCTTGAACCATGACCCTCCCAGATCTGGATCTCAGTCTTTCAAGTAACTAGGATTACAGGCGTGATCCACTCTACACACACCCCCCACGCCCAGTGATGCTCATTTTGGTAACGAAATCAGTATTATCAAACCCTGTGGCAGAAGATGGGGGTGGCTGGCAAGACTGGAAACAGTAACTTTGAAAGAGAAACCTCATTAGGCGCCAGTGGCTCACACCTATAATCCTAGCTACATGGGAGGCTGATATCAGGAGGGTCTCATTTCAAAACCAGTCCAGGCAAATAGTTCTTGAGCCCTATCTCAAAAAATACTCAACACAAAATGGGACTGGTGGAATGGCTCAAGTGGTAGAGCCCCTTCTTAGCAAGCTTGAAGCTCTAAGTTGAAACTCCAATACCACAAAAAAAACAACATGGTAGAATGGTGGAACATGCCTACAATCCCAGCACTAAGGAGGCAAAGACAAAAGGAACCCAAATTCAAGGCCAGCCCAGGCAAAGTTAAGGAGACCCTATCTCAAAAACAAAATACAGATGAAAGGGCTGGGATGTGTCTCAAGTGGTAGAGAGCTTGCCTAGCATGCTTGAGGCTCTGGGCTCACTCCTCAGTACCATTGAAAAAAAAAAAAAAAAAGTCTCTCTCCCTACCTAGGCTTTAGCTTCTCAATCTTCCAAATAGAGGCATTGCTGGTGGAATAGTTAAGTGGTAGGGCACCTGCCCTGAGTTCAAACCCCAGTACCATCAAAAATAAATAACAGGGGCATTAATGCAAAGTCCAACAGGAAAAAGTGGAGGAAGGAACTGGCCACACTGGAAGAAAACAGCTGGTTTCAGAAAGCTAAGCAGATAATGGCAGGGTAATGTAGGGGTGGAACACAGGGTCCAAAGGAGTGTTTGCTCTTCCTGGAGCACAGCTGTCACCAGGCACTAGACATCCAGGGGTGGCTAGATGCAGCTGTGGGAGGGTGTGTAGAATGACATGGGGTGTGGCCACAGAGGGCATGTGGTGTTCCCCTTCCCACAGGCACAGATGTCTAGCCTGGCACCCCAGGGATCCACAACCACAGTAGGGACTTGTCGACCATCTGGGACGTTAGTACCTTCTGGCCCAACACCCACAGCCAGCAGCCATCTGTGGTAAGAATGAAATCACCATGCTCCTGTGGGACAATGATTCCAGGTTGGAAAAGGCTGGCTCTCAGAGTTACAAGCTGGGGCCATGTTTCTATCATGGGCTAGAGCCCAGCTATACCCCTACCCTGGGGTGACCAAGTACATCCAGACCCCTCTGCCTCTGGGTCCACAGAGTAGATTCACAAGTCCAATGCCTACTGACTTCTTTACCTCTGGAACCCTGACTTCTCAGATTTCCACTCCTTTTCATTGTTCCCTGACAATCTCACTGCCAGACCCTAACAACCTGCACCTGAGTGGGCCAGTCTTGGCCACGTCCCTTCGTCCACATACCCTTTCCCCACCTCTTGAATCTGACATTCAGGACACAGGGACATTCCAGCACCCCTCAAACTCCCAGGCCTTTAGGCATCATTCACAGCGTGCCCCACAAACACTAGGCACTGTCCTGGAGGGTGGAGCACTGACTAGCCTATGAAGATCTTCACGAAGTGTGGCTACTCCTTTGTCACTAATGAGAGGTGCAGGGTGCAGAAGGCCTCTCTCTGCAGCCATGCCCTCCTGTGCCAGAACAGGATGGCAGCGGTGCAGGGCGCTGGTGGCTCATGCCTGCAATCCTAGCTACTCAGGAGGCAGACATCAGTAGGATCAAGGTTTGAAGGCAGTCCCGGGCAAATAGTTCTCAAGACCCTATCTTGGAAAAAAAAAAAAAAAAAAAAAGGGCTGGTGGAGTGGCTCCAGTGGTAGAGTGCCTGACTAGCAAGCATGAGGTCCTGAGTTCAAACCTGCATGCTGTCAAAAAAAAAAAAAAAAGTTGAGAGTAATACACTAGCTACAGGACAGGGTTGTTCAAGGATTTTATGAGATAATACAAGTAAAGCATTCCACAGAGCCCTGCACAGTTGCACGGAGAATGAGTGTATGGTCACTGGTAGACAGTGGCTCACTAAGTTCACTCCTTTCCTTCTCACAGCCTAAGCAGCATCAGGCTGTGGTTAGTCGGGCTCCTCAACCCCTTCCCTTCTGTCTCAGACCCTTGTCCTTGGCAGCAGGAACAGCCTGTACTGCACTTGAGGGAGTATTCTAGCAAAAACTAGAAAAACCTGCCCCATAGTTTGATTACCTTCAAGGCCTGGCAGCAGCAATCATCTGGTAAACCATCTGGTGACCAGTGTCCCTGCCACTGCGGAAACCCAGTCTCTTTCAAACCAGCATCAACTCCAGCAGCAATGAAGGTAGCCCATTCCACAGGTGTGCCCTTGCTCCATCTGCTTGGTGAATGAAGCTGACCCTGTGGCTGGAGGGCCCGGTGGCTGGAAGGGTCAAGGTGACAGCCCACATCTCAAGAGGCAGCCACTCAGGGCAGTGGGGATGCCCTCAGCTCTCCTGACTCTGGCAGGTAGTGAAGAAGGAAGGCCTACCTTTTGGCTATCTACCCTGCAGCAAGGGATTAGTCATTCCAAGAAAACTGTTGGGACCAAAACAGTCTTCAAGGAACACAGGTCTTTGGGGACAGAGCTTCACCCCAAGAAGCTAGTTTAATTAGTCCAACAAACTGCTCTCTTCCTTTCCAAGGGTCACAATTTCTTTCTTTGGCCCTCAAAGATAGGGCTGCTACACCAACCATCCCTTGGGTGTGCCCCCTCCTCCCCAATCACACATAGGGCTGAAGCCACCACTTGCTGCAGCTGGTACCCACAGGACAGGTATCAACACCACTCTTTTTCCCCATCACTGCTCTGCCAGACTGTACCCACCCCAGGTGAGTTGGGCTTCACAGGCCTCCTCTCCAAGCATATGATGAAGCTGAAGGTGGCCCCTTTGTATCCAGGAAAGTGCTTCTAAGCCGCAGCTCACAGCCTATTTCCTGTCTCCCTCCCAGCTCCCACTGGGCCAGGAACTGGCAGAAGCTCTGCCTGGGGGACAAGCTGCATAACTCCATCTGTCACACTACAGGAGTCAGCTCATAACTTTCCTCTTGTCAGGCCTGACATGAGCTACCCTTCCTTTGAGCCTTTGTCCTCTGTGAGGGGAGGAGGAGGAGTCTTTTTAAAAGACAAAGAAAATTCTGAGTAACTCAGTAAGTAAAGGGGAGGAAACACTCTCATCTATCCCACTCCCCAGAACAGGCACTAGAATTTACATTTGGCCTTACATGTCAAATGTCACAATGCCTGGCTTGAGACTTATTCCAGGATACAAAGCAGACACCCTTCAGGAAAACATCTTTGACCTCTGCCCAGAACTTCTGGGAAGTGGCAGAGACACATGCATTTGGTCTCTGTTCCCACCTTTGGCTGCTTGCCCCAGACACCCTTAGGCCTTCACAGGAAGGGTGTGGGGCCAGCATAGCCCTGGGCCCTCTTGGGTCTAGGCCTGATGCATGCTGCCCGTGGCACCCCGGCATCTGGAAGCCTTCCCAGCAGCTGAAGAAAATGTCTTTTATTAGTGACATACAAATAAAACTGATGCAAAAGCAGATCACTTTTTCCCTTTGATTTCCAGTGATAACAAGTTGTTAAAGAAAAAGATACATACATCAAGAAGTTTATCTTCCAAGTTCCCTCTAAAAAAATACAGAAAGGTTAAAAAAGAACCATACACATGTCATATACACATTTGACACCAACAAAAATAACATGAAATAGGGTGGGGATACAACTAAAAAAAAAAGCTTAAAAAATATTCTAACATGCCCCAAACCAAAAAGAAAAAAATCCTAGTACAAAAGGCCTGTTTCTCAAAACTAAGATCCAGGTGGAGGAAGACTGATGTCTGAGACATTGATGGGCTCAACACCCATAGGAGTGATCTGCTAGTCTCAGTCAGTGCCCCTCTGACACAGCACTACCTCTTGCAGGGCCCTTCAGGACAAGGTCTGTAGAGGCTGGAGGGAACAGGGCATGTTACCGAGTGCCCTGTGGGTGGCTTGGTGCTAGGTGTCAATGACTGCAAAGAGACAACACACACTGAACTCACCTTACATGGGATTTACACTGGGGGCTCCTTTTGGTCCCCTCGAGAGGGAGGTATCAGAAATCCATGATCTAAGACAATAAATATTTATCATTCTGTGTCCTTCAAAAGGGATCAGAGAAGAAACTTCCTAAACATGCTTCTATTGTCTCATGATTCTTGGTAGAAGTCTACCAATCCCCTCCCAGCAACTTCAACTCTCACAAGGGGTAAAATCCCCTGGGAGCCAGAAGATGAGGCAAAGGTAGATTTACTCCAGTGTAAAGCTGCCAGGCCCTCTCCAAGGAGTACCCACTCCCACTGCTAGTGGGGTCAAGAGCAGGGCACTCAGTGTGGAGGCCAAACTGGGCAAGAGGTCCTGTATGCACAGGTCCCTGTGTAAGCAGGAATCCAGGTCAGAAGCAAGGACTGCTCTGGGAAATTTGCCAGGACTGCCAGTCATGGCAGAGGTGGGGGTGAGCAGACTCAAGGTCAGAGGGATTGACACATTCCCACAAGAGCCACTGCACAAAAGTGGGAATCTTCACCACACTCCCTGAAACAAAGCTCAAGAGTCAAAGAGGAGGTGTTAAGTGCTTTTTCTGGGTGAGGATTTGGTTTTTCTTCTCGAAAAGAGGAGTAAGACTTAAGAGTTCACGATGAGTATAAGTTCTGCTTATTTCCTCTGAGAAAAGGAAGACCTTCTCCTCCTTGTTCCAGCTTGCTACCACAGAGTGACCCGAGAGAGAAAAGCAACTGTTTGGGCCACTGAAGACAATCCTGCTGCAGCCAGAGCAGTGGCCAAGCTGTTCCAGAATGGCACCGTGCCTCATTGAGGCAGTAAGGGGCAAGGCTGGGGAGCACAGGCAGAGGGTCCTGCTGCTGGCTGGGTCTCTCTGAAGAAGAAGAACACCCCACCTTCAGAGAGCTATCAGCACCAAGAGGTGAGAGGAAATGACATCAATTGTACCAGGAATGAGGGGTCCTTCTGGGGGGAAGATGAGGGGCTCCCTGATGTTACTTCCCCTTGAGACTAAGAGAGGTATGTGGGGTGGAGGCGAGAGCCAGGGGACAAAGTGGTGAGGGGTGATGGAGAGAACAGGAAGGGCCTCTGGCTTCCTTCTTAAATGCAAAGCTTGAGCCAATGCCATGAGATCAAGAGGTTAAGCTTAGAATGCAGCAAAGACCAAAAGCCCAGAGAACCAGTGGTCCCCATGGCAGATTCCTTAGGACACCTCTTCTTGGTCCTCTCAGCCCTCTCACAGATGGCGATGGAGAGAGGCAGCCTTCCTCCAGTCGTCTGGCACCCTGAGACGACTTCACCCTGTGCATCCCTAAGAACATGGGTGGGAAGAACTCTCCACATCTTGGCATGAGGGCTGCACAGTCTCCGTGAGTGCTCCATCCACCAGAATGGAAGTCTCCCTAAGGCCTCGCCCTATACCCAGATCTCAGAGTCAGATCCTCAGGACCAGCAGACCCAAGCCCAGGATGTCACAAAGCTGAGTATAAACATTCCATTTGTCCATGTAGGGGCAGAGAGAAAGAATGTCAGGAATCCAGCTGCAGAAGTGAGGGAGCCTTGCACTCGAGGATCAAAGAGCTGAGTGGGGAGGCAGCCACTAGGCGGGGATGAGCGCCACAGCCTGTCCTGCCAGCTTCTCCACAGCACCCTGTCCTTGTACCCCTCCTGGCATTCTGCTCTTCCAGGAGAGAGGTGGAGGAGTAACTTGGACCACTGCTCCCCAGGGTTCTGTACCCTCATGAAGCTGCCTGGCACGTGCAGGGCTGAGGCCACAGCTCTGAGGGTGCCTGGCAAGCAGCGTGAGACCAGGACAGGCCTTAGGAGACAGCACTTTCACTTGCTAGTGGCTCTGGGAGTCAGTGGCAGCAGCCACCACAGTGCCCACCTGCATGAGAGTGCTGGCTGTCCCCAAACTTGGTCCTCCGGCTCAGAATCTCATAGGAGCAGTCCTCCCCACAGCAACCAGACATGCTAGGGGAAGAGTCGTCAATTTCAAATCTGCAAGGCAGACAGGAAAAAAGGGTTTACTGCTGGCAGCTGAATGCTCTTCTCCCTCGGCCAAAAACTTTTTGAAAGTACACTTATTAGATCCCTGGGACGAGGGGTTGTCACACCATCTCACCAAATCAAACCCTGGACTATCAGCCCAGGTATCAGGATGACCAGGGTCTGGGGCCAGGAAAATGGCACAGGGATAGCACCTCCTACTACCCAGAAGGACCACACCAGGGCCCAGCTCCTTACTGCAGGGCTTCTCGGAAGAACTGGTAGGCGCCATGATTGTGTTTAAATACTGTTAACATCACTTTCTTCATCTGAGTGCTGAAAGAAAGCAGAGGAAGCACCTCTTAGAAAGAGAAACAGAGACTAAGGTCAGGCCACTGCTCCTTCCCATTTGCCCCAAGAGGCATCCCCCAAGTTCCCTCCTCCAGCCTGTAGAGGCCTTCACACCACAGTGCTCAGTGCTTCCTATCATCACAGGCTGTACATCCATCAGGGAGATTCACTCTTTCTACAGCCCCATTACTTAGGCACACACTCCAGCACAGATCAAGCACTCACAAGATGCTCCCTGATGGGTGCCAGTGGCTCATGCCTGTAATCCTAGCTACTTAGGAGGCAAACATTAAGAAGATCATGGTTCAAATCCAGCCCAGGCAAATACTTCTTGAGACCCTACCTCAAAAATATCCTACAAAAAACAGGGCTGGTAAAGTGGTTCAAGAGGTATACACCTCCCTAGTAAGCACGAGGCCAAGTTCAAACCTCAGTACAACCAAAAGAGAGAGAGAGAGAGAGAGAGAGAGAGAGAGAGAGAGAGAGAGACATGCTCCCTGAACTGGCTGAAGGACAAAGCCTGGAGTCAGAGCAAGGCAGGGTGCATCTTACTCAGAGGGCTCCCAATGTCTCTCTGCCAGAACATTCCTACGAACTGTCTTCCAAGGAGGCTTGAACAGTGGACTCCTCAAGGAAGCACTTCCCACCTCCTAAGAAAGGGGCGCTTACCTGTTGGCCATGAGCTGCAGGATCTGAATGAGGAACTTCCCCAGGCCTTTTCGCCGCACTTTGCTTTCCAACTGCACTTCATAGCTGAGTGAAGAAAGCAGAGGGGTGATTGGCAAGGTAGCCTCTGAGGAGGTCACAAGGGTCATCAGAAAAGCCTGCAGCCCTTGGCAGCCCCCAGACCCAGAGGCTCTATCACCTGGTCTCCCTCCCCACTCCACCCCACTCCAAGTTGTGGCTCCTACCAGTACAGGACTTCATCTCCACATTCCACATCAAATCGGAAGTGAGAAAAGGCAACAGGGACGGAACTATTTTCCCAAGCGATGAGGTACCAGGCTCGGTCATCTGTCATTTCCTCCCGTTTCTCTCGGTCCTTCCAGCCCCACTCACTTTGCTCATACCTGGGAATGTGAAGGACGTCAGGACAGGGAAGCCTGGGATGAAAGCCAGCTGGGGCACCGGCTCCCGCCTAGCTGGGCCATGCTTACATGGTTTGCATATTTGTTTTGGTTAGGTCGAAGGCCCAATCCACTGTGGCTGGCTCCAGTCCGGATACTCGCTTACATTCAATGGAAATGTTCAAGCTGAGGAGAGGACAGGGAGGTGTCAGGAGTTGGTTAGAGTCCAGTGCTCCTGCCAGGGCACCACCATCCCTCCCCAGCAGTCTGACAGGGATGCATGCCTATCTCAGTCACTCTACTGAAAAGCCAAGCTTTCCAGGCACAAATGGGGAAGATGCCTGTGCAGGGCTGAGCCTGTTGGGCAGGGCTTAACAACTGTCACCACCCAGTCCACCACCCTAACCACAGGGCCCACTTCCTGCCTCCCTTGCACTGGCTGTATCAGACTCGGCACTCTGTCAACTTCTTGATCCTCTCTGCTACCTCTTTACTCTCTTCCTGCCCGCTTAGTCTCTTCTATACTCTGTTATAAACACTGGTGTCTTTTTTGTTCCTTAGTTCCTGCCCTTAGGCATTTTTCCTGTTGCTTTAATTTCTTTACTATCACCAGCTCCCATAGGCATCATCTCTCTTATCTACCAATATTGTGGTCAAAACCAGCTGGGTGACCTGGGGCCCTTCAAGAAAGACGGAAGCACAACACAGTCCTAGAGACACATTCCCAGGAGTCCTGCCTGCCCTCCTCTTGGCACTCAGTGGGCACTCTGAACTCACTGAACAGGTCTGTTCCCTAAACTGACAAATACTGTAGGCATTAAAGTATCTGTTTTTAAGGAAATTTAAGAAAAATACAAATTCCCCAGTCAGCCTGTAAAATCACAATCTCTAGGTAGCACCACACTTGAAAGGACTCTGAGCCTTTATTTTTTTTTTCAGACAATTTTATATTTTATTATCAATAACAAATAGCTGCTTTAAAGTGTCTGTCCTATAGCTGTTTAGGGGTAGGTGAGAGGACACTAACAAGGAAAACTCAAGCCTTTATATCCAAACAAATTTAGAGCTCATATAAGTGTCCAAAGCTCTTAATTAGTTTGAAGCATTAAACTAAATCTTAATTAACATATTTGAACCAGGAACTGAAATGTTCAATATTTTTCTACTCTTAGACTTCAAAGAGCTCCCATAGCAATGATTTTCAGTGGCCTTTGGCACCTCCCTCAAAGGACATTCCCACCAGAATCTACAGCCACCTCTGTTGACTAGCATGCCATGAGCTGCTCATATGCTCAGCCTATAAATGCAGACCTTCCCACCTCCAAACAGCCTAGGTTTGTGTTGTTGTTGCTGTTTTTTAGCAAGGTCTCTCTCTCTTTCTCTCTCTATAGCCCAAGCTGGCCTAGAACTGGTGATCCTCCTGCCTCTGCTTCTTAAGTGCTGGGATTACAGATGTGCACCACTATCCAGCTTGGAAGAGCCTTTTTATTTATTTATTTTTTTACAAGCACTAACCACATCAGAACTGCCCAAGGTGACAGAGTGTGAGGCTCTAATTTCAAACCTCATGCTACCAAAAAAAAAAAAAAACAACAACAAAAAAAAACCACCGCACCTGCCCAAATATAGCACTGCATTTATCTTAGTTAGAAAACACCTGAAAGGCCAGTCTGAAATATGATTTCTCATTTCTATTCTTTAAATATGTGAAAGCAGGATCACAGCCACAAAAATCACAAAAAATTCAAGGCACTAAAGGAGTCCAGAGTAAGGCCAAGTCCCCAAACCTTCCATGTTTTTTTTTTTTAATTTCCCCACCTCATGTTTCCCCATTCACAATGCAGACCAGGCATATGGCCTGGGCTGAGCTGCATATGGGGTAGATTTACTTTGCCTCCTCTTTCTATACAGTATAAGAACACAGCTGTAGTAAGCACCAGAAGGCCAACCATTCCATGTTTTTGAAAGTCAGTGGGAATACAGCTCATGGAAACACTAAGAGGATAGCACAGGAAGGGATCTCCAAATCATGTCAAAGGACTTCCCAGTGACAGAGCTACTATAAGACCTGTAACATGCCTCATCACAGACAGGAAGATGTTAGAATAAACAGATGTGATACTATGAAATTCAGACACAACTATGAAAGCAAATGAAGCATTACCTACTTTATAATTCACACACCTGCATTTTTTCCACTGCACTAAGCAGCTCCTTTCTGCACTGGACAGTTTCTCTTTTTCCTAAAACAACCCAGTGAGTTTGGCATCAACATCCTATATGACAGGTAAGAAAATGAGGCTTGATTGGACACTGCTGGCTCACGCTTATAATGCTAGCTACTTGGGAGGCTGAGATCAGGAAGGATGCAGTTCAAAGCCAGCCTGGCCAAACAGTTTTCAACATCCCCCCCCACTCCAAAATAAGCAAAGCAAAATGAACTAGAGGTGTTGCTCCAGTAATAAGAGTGCCTGCTTTGCAACTATGAAGCCAAATTCAATCCCAGTCCCACAAAAAAAGGAAAGAAAGCCGGGCACAGGTGGCTCACACTTGTAATCAGCTACTCAGGAGGCAGAGATAAGGAGGATCACTGTTTGAAGCCAGCCTAGGCAAACAGTTCTCAAGACCCTATCTTGAAAAAATGCACCACAAAAAAGGGCTGGTAGAGTAGCTCAAGTTGTAAAGCCCTGAGTTCAAACCCTAGTACTGCCAACAAAAAAAAAAAAGGAAGGAAGGAAAGAAGGCAGAAAACAAGGCTTGACTAGTATGAGTGACTTATCCAAGAGGTAGTAATAAAAGACCCAGCTACCATATATGGCTCAACCCATAACCCAGAGAAGCCATGACCCCTGTCTTTCCCCAAGCCAAGACACCACACTATAAAAACATGCCTCAGGAAAGACAGACTGTGCTGCTTATTTTATAAACCAAAAAGACAAAAAAGGAAGGGGAGGCCTTTAATCCACATCCTATAGTAAATTGGATCAGTAGCCACAACAGTTGATACTTATCTAGCCTTCAGTAGGCTCCAGGAACCAAAGCTTTACACCTTGCTGGTGGAATGGCTCAAATGGTAAAGTTTCTGCCTAGCAAGTGTGAGGCCCATAGTTCAAACCCCAGTAGCACACATAAAAAAACAAAATGAAAAAAACTACACCTAATCTTCCTGAGAACTCCCTGAAGAAAGTAGAAAATATTATTATGAAATGCATTTTTTTTTTGTGCTACTGGGGCTTGAACTCAGAGCCTTCACCTTTGAGCCACTCCACCAGCCCTTTTTTGTTAAAGTTTTTTTCAAGATAGGGTCTCTTGGAACTAGTTGCCCTGGCTGGCTTTGAACCTTGATCCTCCTGATCTCTGCCTCCTGAGTACCTAGGATAACAGGTGTGAGCCACCGGCACCAGGCTCTCTTTTCTTTTTTTTAAAGACAGGGTCTCAGACTAGCCCAGGCTGCCCTTGAACTTGGGATCCTTCTGTCTCAGCCTCCTGAGTGCTAGGATTACATGTGTAGGCTACCACACCTAGCTATTAGACTCATTTCTGATTAGAAAACTGAGGCACAGAGAATTAAGTAATTTACCCTGGGTCAAAAAGTCAGCAAAAGTCAGCATCGCTGAATGCTGGTGGCTCACACCTATAATCCTAGCTACTCAGGAAGCAAAGATCAGGAGGATCCAGCTCCTATCTTGAAAATACCCAACACAAAAGGGCTGGCATAGAGACTTAAGTGGTAGAACGCCTGCCTAGCAAACACGGAGCTCTGAGTTCAAACCCCAGTACCATCAACCCCCCTTCCCCAAAAGTCAGTATAATTATACAATATACTCAGGGAAAGAGCAATGGATTGAGAATTAAAAGTCCTATCAGCTGTGAGTGGGAGCTCCATAAACTCAGAAACCTCATTCAACTTCTCTGAGCCTCAGTTTCCCATACATAAAATGAGAATGGCACCCTAGATGATTTTCCAAGTTTGTTTCAACTCTCTCACTCTCTGTAAGTGTCCTAAAAAGAATATCAGTCCATTATCAAGTACAAGCTTTCCACATTTACCAATTCCTGCATCACCTTAACTGGGGAATTTCATATCAATGGAAAGCACTGGCTAGCTTCCGCTTTTTTTCAAAATGAAAAAGAAAAGGTGGGTCAGAGGAAGTCTACCTTAGAGAGGTGAATTCCTGAAGACCTCAACTGCTACCAGGTAGAATGCTAAATATAACTTACCCATTCCGGTCGTATTTTTTGAACACTGGGAACGCCTCCAGAGGGTCTCCAAGCTGTGGAGGAAAACAGAAGAGTAGCTCAGATAGGTGGGTGGGGCTGGGCCTGCTGCCTGGGCTGTTGCAGGGATCCACATCAGGATGCAAGTTTGGCCCCAGGAGAAGCTCTCATGGGGCCTCCATCTGCCTCAGCTCTGAACTCACAAGGAGGAGGGAGACTTTGGTAATGGTGCCCAAGACAGTTAAGTTTAGGGTCAGAGCAGACTGGTATGTGAGCCTAATAGCGGCTCACAATACAGTCAACCCAAAGAAGAGGCGATGATCTGGTGCACTTTTGGGAAAAGACCCCAACTAACTTCACCAGCTCAAAACCCCAAATGGAAAGTCATGTCCCTGAGCTGCATCCTTACAGATGAACAGCATTTGTAATGAGGGGGAATGAGAAAAAAGTGAGATATGGAATGGGGGCAGGAAGGATGATCAGAACTTCTCACCAGGCCATGCCCATCAGCCCACCTGGTGCTGATTCACAGATACTCCTCCCTTTACTGCAGTCCTTTGAGGTCCAGGCTGTTGCAGCCACCCCCCTCCACTCCCATCACCCAGCCCCAGCACCTTAAGGGCAGTCAATAAATATCTGAAGGAATGAATCAGAGAACTATATTGTATGCCAGGTTTTATCAAGGAATTTTCCTTCCAAAATGCAAACTCCTAGCAAAACTTTCTCTGGACTCCACACTATCAGTAAAAGAAGCAGCCATTTTCTCTGGAATCCCCATTTCTCCAACACCTGGGCCAACTGCTGACACCTACTAATGCTTCCTCAGCCTCAGGGCAAGGAGGCCTTAGTGGGTAGTTCACAAATATGCCACACGGTGGCACCAAAAGAAATCAAATTAAAAACCAAATTGAAGTTCCAGGAGGCAGGAAGGAACTCAGAAAGGAGTAATCACCCTGTTAGCAGCATCCACTTTGGCACAGACGGCATCCATGGCTGCTCGCTCTTCCAACCGCTTCTGCTTCTTCTCCTTTGCTTTGCTCGACTTTCTCTGCAACAGGGGAAAGCAAAACTAGCTGGAAGGGCTGTGGCTACTGAAGACTTGACTTCTAGTCTGACGGCAGGAAACTTTCCACCCTGACTGTTACACACTTGCTGTGATACCTAAGCAGGGAACACTGTTTCCTCGACCTGAGCCCTCAGGAGGTCACTAGACTTCGTAGCTTTCTTTCAGGAAGAATACAAACCCTGCTGACCCCTGGTCACTGTGAGGACCTGGTGAGAGAGTTGTGACAATGCCTGCTTTGGAGCTGGCCCTGGCAGTGAAGAATATTCACTCAGCTGCTCCCTCATAAGGAGGAAACACCCAATTTTAGGCCCATTTAAGGCAGCTTTCAGGGAAGAGATGGCATCTGAGGTAGCCGTTGATGCTGTTCCTTTTGGGTGTCTTTTGGCTACAGGAGACAAAGATCCAGCTAGGGGCAGCCTGACGAGAGCTGGGTCCTGTCTCTAAGTAAGAGCCAGGGTGCACTGCCGTAAGGGCACAGAGTCATTCTCCAAAAGCCCTGCTCAGCCAAAGCCAATGAATGGCAAGCATATCATGCACCTGGCGACAAGGGCAGAGTGAAGGGCCCCCGGGGGTTCACCTTGGGACAGGAGTGCCACGTGATCAGCAAGACCAAGCTGCCACACACAGGCAGCAGGGAGGGCAGAGACAGGCTCCCTGCATGAGGGGCAAATGGCAAGCTAGCCACAATTATACCTAGATCAAATCCTGATTTAGGCATGGGGCGGGGGGCGGAGGGTTCTCTTAGGACTAATAGATTCTCTTACCCTCTGGTAAAACGCTGGGTGACACAGGGAACTAGTCAGGCCTAGAGCTTGACAGAACTCATCAAAGCCTCTTTCTACTCTCCAATCCCTGCAGGTGTTAGGACAAGACGCAGCCCTTCTCTGAGCCTCCTTCCCTGACCTGAATGAGCTCCCAATGTTTGCTTTAGTGGTGTAACCCTGAGAGGTTTGTATGACAGGTTCTCAATTAAGTGACAGTTCTCATTCTCACTCGCAAGGAGAACCACATAACACAAGCAGGCAGAGGTGCTGGCCCATGTGGCCCGAGTCCTCCAAAGGCACAGGCCAACTGGCTCTGCTTTTACCAACAGCCCTTTTGACCCCCAGCCCTCCAATCCCACGGATCACTGGAGAGAGGTCCAACAATCCTCAATTACAGCCCTCCTCTGAGTTTTTCCCTGGCTTGAGTTGAAAAACCAGCTGCTAGGGACAATTCTCAGAATAAACTGTGCCAGGATGTTCTAAGGAATGACACTGCTACTTCAAGCAACCAGGAAGCAAAGGAGTCCAGATATCAGAAACTTAACAGGGATTGCTCTTAGAGACATAAACTCTACCACCACCAGCTAAATTATCTTCTGGCTGAGTGCTATGCTGGAAGCCAGGCTAGACTCTACCCCTAGAGAAGGGGGTGGGATCAGAAGAGAATAGATTGCCTTCATAAAGCTGCAATCCAGAGACAGCACATTTTACAGTATCCAACTTTTTTTCTGGAATTCATTGAGATACTCATAGCTTGCAAAGTAGTTTCACAAACATGATGTGGTTCAGTTCTCAGGGCAAAAACCATCACTTCTGTTTACACATTAGGAACCTGAGGCTCAATGGGGTGACATGACTCACAGAGTTCCCCATACAGTCAGGAGCCAAAGGGAAATTCAACTCAAGACCACAGATCAGTGTTTGCTCCACCAGCTCAGCTATCTCCCAATGGGAGAGCCCACATCTAACATGCTGGATTTCTACTCAGTCATCATAGACCTTCTCACATCCTGCAAGGGCCAGGGGCCCCAGAAGCCCTCAACCAATCACCCAGCAAGTCATTTCTAATTGCCTGTTTACTGCTTGCCATCCCAGGTCCTACTCTCTGAGGCAGAGACAGAGAAAAGGGAAGGTCTCCAGGACTGCACAATGGGGCAGAAACAGCATGAGTTTTGACCTCGACCAGATCAGACCAATGTCCCTACTGCCACCCCCAGCATGACTTGTTTTTCAGTACTGGAGTTTAAACTCAGGGCCTACACCTTGAGCCACTCCACCAGCCCTTTTTTTTGTGATGGGTTTTTTCAAGACAGGGTCTCGCCAACTATTTGCCTGGGCTGGCTTTGAATTTCAATCATTCTGATTTTTGCCTCCTGAGTAGCTAGGATTACAGGCATGAGCCAACAGCACCCGGCCCCCCAGCATGACTTGTGAAAACATTTCCATCTCTGAGAAGATGGGGATGAAAATGCTGGCCTCACAGGGCTGTAAAGAAAGATCAGATGCTAGCATGCCTTCATAGTAGATGAAGCCCCCCTTCCACCATCCTATGTGCTTACTCTCCTCTCTCTTAACACCATGTGGAGGATCAAAGGCAACAGAAGGCAAGTGTGACTCCCAGGACCCAGAAAGCACTGAAACCTGGGTTCTCTCCTCAGCATCTCATTTCTAAGCACAAGAAGAAAGTAATTCTTAAGCACAAGCAGCAGGAGGGCCAGCCTGGGCCTCTAGGAGATTTACAGGCTCATTCATGCAGGGCTCTAGCAAGGCAGGCAATCCTCAGAGTGAGGCTTGAAGCTGCCATGGCCCAGACCCAAATAATGAAAGCGCTCCTTAAGCGCTTCACCGCCTGCACACAGGGTAGGGGGTAGGAAGCAGGCTGTTCAGGCTGGGCTAGACAGGTAGGGGTTCTCCCTCAAACCCAGCAAGCTCTAGGAAGAGTAGTCTCCTGCTGTTCCAATTAGCTTCACCCCAGCCCTGTGGAGGTAAGGCTGTCCTGTAGGGACACAGAGAAACTCTCCTAATTAAAATGGGAAATAAGTACAGTGAATAGTAAAGCTCATTGTGGTTAAGTGTCTTTCCCAAGGGAGCTTTAAATAATAAAGAGTGTGGGCTTTTGACTCAAGAGACCTGAATTTGATTCTCAACTCTTTCACTTAATAGCTGTGTGACTTTACGCAAGTTACTTAAATTAAAACCTTCTCAGCAAGTTACTCAATTTGTCTGAACCTCTTTCCTTATCCATGAAATGGGACAATGCCTACGTGAGCCACCAGTGCCAAGAACCAGCCGGGCACTGGTGGCTCATTCCTGTAATCCTAGCTACTCAGGAGGTAGCGATCAGGAGGATCATGGTTTGAAGCCAGTCTGGGCAAATAATTCATGAGACCCCTATATTAAAAATACCCAACACACACACACACACACAACACACACACAAAGGGCTGGTGGAGTGGCTTGAGTGATAAGAGCGCCTGGCAAACGTGAAATCCTGAGTTAAAACTCCAGTATCACGATAAAATAAACAAATAATAAGTCACTGGGTGCTGGTGGCTCAAGAATGTAATCCTAGCTATTTAAGAAGCAGAGATCACATATGAATAAAATAAAAAATAAAAAAATAAAAAAAGAAGCAGAGATCATGAGGATGATGGTTCGAAGCCAGCCTAGGCAAATACTTCAAGAGACCTTATCTCGAAAAAACCCTTCAAGAAAAGGGGTTAGCTGCTGGAGTAGCTCAAGTGGTAGAGTGCCTGCCTAGCAAGCGTGAGGCCCTGAGTTCAAGCCCCAGTATTGCAAAAATAAAAAATAGAAAAAAAAGCGGGGGGCAGGGGGTGGAGTGGCTCAAGGTGTAGGCAGAGTTCAAGCCCCAATACTGCAAAAAAAAAAAAAAAGTCAAGACTGTTGCAAGACAAAATGGTGTTAACACACTGAATGTAAAAACTCTTTATATTAATGGATTTTTTTTTTCATTGCTTGGGCTGACTCAGGGCTTCAAGAACATAGCAAGTGCTACTCCTGAGCTACACCCCCAGCCCTAAAAATGGCTTTTGTTTGCAAAGACCCACTTATGTGAGACATTGCCAGTGCTTTCATAAAGATGATCTGTTTTAACTTTTCCAACAACTCAGCAACGTATGTACACCCAGTTCTTTGATGAAAAATCTGAGGCACAGAAAACCTGAGTAATTTTCAGGGTCAGAGTCAGTAAGTAGAGTCCTCAGAAGTCTTCCTATCCACCCCGCCTCCCCAACTCTGCCCTCCACCAGGCAGAGGCTGTTTCTGCTTGTTTGTCAATGTATACCCAGTGCTCAGCAAACAGTAGGTGCTCAGTTCCTATCTGCTGAATGACTCACAAAAGATTCAAATCCAGGTGTGACCCCTAAAGTTTATGTTACTCCCACTACTTGGCACTTTTTATAATGTGCTATATAAATGCGTTTTCATATGTGGCTGTGAAACTCCTTTTTTTTTTGTGGCAGTAAAGCGGTTTGAACTCAGGGCCTCATGCTTGCTAAGCAGGCACTCTAACACTTGAGCCACTCCATCAGCCTTCTCCTAACTATTCTTGTCAGGAGACACCTTCCAGAAAAAGAATTTTACATCTCTTAGATTTTCAGTGTCAGCACCTCCATTCTACACAGTATCTAAGATACGAAAATAACCTGTTTTTAGTGAAGGGTGACAAAGATATAGCTTCTAAGTCCTAAACAATAACAGGTGCGGCACCTATCAGCCTGAGGTCAGCACCAAGGTTCTTTGCCCAAGGGTAACCATCAGGAATTAACCTGCCATCCAGGTGGGGCATCCATGGCCTCCACTGATGAGGAATGTGAGGGTAAAGAGAGGGTTAGAAAGGATAATTCAAGTCTCTCTGTGCCGTGAGTTTTAGGCCAGAAGGCTCTGTAGGGGCTGTTCTGAGGAACACATCTGTACAGTGTAAGTAATAAGACTGGGGCCTAAAGGAAGCAGAGTTTGCATTATCTCTGGACCCTGCTATTTCAACTCATCTGAGAAGGAAGTGCTGGACAAAAATGACACCTTATGCTTCTTGTTGTCAACTCAGTCTGCAGTGAGTGATTCTGGATACAGAGTTACTGAGTGATAACAGAGACAGGTTTCATTTAGTTCCACAACTGGGGTCTGAGACTAAAATCTAGGTTAAATATGTACGCCTAAGGTCTCTAAACTTGATTTTCTACATATGAGGTGTATTGTACCCAAAATTTCAGGTTGAGATGTGACAAACTGTGTGTGTGTGTGTGCGCGCGCGCGAGAGAGAGAGAGAGAGAGAGAGAGAGAGAGAGAGAGAGAGAGAGCGCTAGGCATTGAACTCAAGGCTTTGAATATGTTAAGCACACACTCTACCGCTGGGCTACACCCCCCAGACCCTAAATTTTGTTCTGACATGGATTACCTAAAGTGTTCTGACATGGACTAGACAACTATTTTTGAGTAAGTTGATTTGTCTAGTCAATACATATTTGAGTAACTGGGAAAAAATGTAGGTTAATAACAGTAGGGACAAACCCAATGGGTTAAAAATAGCACCAATCTATTTTAGATCACTAAAGTGAAGGCTGAGCAGGCAAAAATAACAGCCATTACTTATGAGGCACCTAACTGGCTGCTTATGTCCTCTATTTAATTCTCACTACTCCCCTAAAAAGGAGGTATCATCCCCTTTACATAGGTAAGGAAATTAAAGTCCAAAAAAGCCATGCCATTTGCACCATATCACGTTGCTAGCCAGTAAAGATGGGCTGGAATCGGGGTGTGTTTGGCTTCAAAGTCACGGCTCTCTAAAGATGGTGAAATTCCACACAAATGCGAATAAGTCAGGACCAGGGAGGATTAGCTGTCTTCTTAGGAGGGTGACTGGTGCTTCTCGACTTGGGACTTAGTAAAGTGAACTCAAAGAAACATGAAATTGCTTCTGCCCAACCCTATATGCACATAGCCAAAAAAGGGCAATAAAATTAAGATGCACCTACCTGCTGCGGCACCTAACAGGTGGGCACCGAACAGGTGCTCGCTGTTCACTGAAGCTGGGGCTTGCCATCACCAGTGGCCTCTATCCTCCCAGCTCCCTCCCCCTTGCAAAGTCACCTGCGGTGCTAAGACTAACAACTTCAGATAAGAAGCACTTCACCGAAACCAGGGGCAGCGCAGGCAGCCAGGGGAGACGCTCATCACGAGCGGAGGAGGCCGGTGGAAAGGTTTCTAAAGACTGTAGGGGAAGCCACCAGGCTGAGGCTCGAGTACCAGGAAGCGCAGCCGACTGCGACCCGAGGGACGCGAGGTGGGGTCTGGCACTCTAGTCACCGCCTGTGTGACCTTGGCCGCGCGCCTTCTTTCCTCCGGGCCTCAGTTCTCCCTCAAAGTCAGGGTTGACCTAGGAGGTGGGAAGCCGCAGGGCCGGTGACAGCCAGGTGATGGGTGACCCCAAGGAGCAGGGCATATAACCTTAGGGACCGCGCAGGGACCCGGAGATGGGGAGGCTGGGAACTGGTCAGCTAAGCAGGAAGGAGTGGGCGGGACATGAGGGGCCAGGGGCACCAAGGGGGAGGGGCCCTGAGAAATGGGGCTCCCCGGGGATTCTGGGGCTAGACCGAACTTGGAGACCCTTAGAATGGGGGAGTCAGGCTTTGTGGGGGCTGGGGTCACGTGAGGCTGGAGGGGGTCGGGGTCACGTGAGGGGGTTTAAGGAACAATGGGGGCACAAGGGGCGAGGGTAAATGAGAGCGCCTCTGAACTTCCCGTTTCCTCTCCCTGCTTCACTCACCCCCATGGCGGCGGCAGCGGCCCTCGGCTGCTCCTTCACACACTTGCCGGCAGGGAGGCGGCAACGGTGGCGATAGCGGCAGCGACAACCTGAGCGGCGGGCCCCGCGCTGCGCATGCGCCTCGCGGGCTCCCCCGCGCGCCCTAACGGGCACCGCGCCGGCGCAGAACCTGGGGGCGGAGGCGGAGGGGAGTCGGGGGGTCGGGGCGGGGGCGGGGGGGGCTAGTGCGAGCCGGCAGAAGGCGCGCAGGTGGAGCGCCCGCGAGGCCTGCAGAGGGTCTCAGACCAGAAAGGCGGGAGGCACAGAGGAGCGTCGCGCTGGGAATGACGTGGCAGACCCGGCACCGCCCCCTCGCCAGGCTGCGTCTGTAGCTATGGCAACGACCGCGCGGAGCTGGGCTTCACGCCTTGGGCAGAAGCAGCTCCCGGCTGGGCAGCCGGGTAGGTGGCAGCCAGTCCACTGCGCTCCGTGTCTCCACCGCCCCGCGTAGAACAGCCGCCTTCACAGGCGACCGGTCGCATCCCTAACTTTGAAATACCGGCTCTCCCCGAGTACTCTCCGGCACCCAGAAGTGTTTGGAAGCGTTCCCACCGTCTGGATTTTGACTTGGAATTCTTTTTCTACCCCGAGTCCTGTTCTATTCATTCATCCATCTTTAACCATTCATTCTCCTGCCATTCATTCGCTCTCTTACTAATCATTTACGAGCACTTATGTTGTGTTGAGCACAGAGAGGAGTAAGAGCCGACGCAGTCCAAAACTTCCCTGTTGAGAGATGAGACAAGCGTGTGACACTAAGAGAGTAGTTAAAATGTGGCCGGGCGCCGGTGGCTCACGCTTGTAATCCTAGCTACTCAGGAGGCAGCGATCAGGAGGATCGCGGTTCGAAGCCAGCCCAGGCAAATAGTTCTCGCGCTCCTATCTCGAAAAAATCCATTACAAAAAGCAGCTGATGGAGTGGCTCAAGATGTAGGCTCTGAGTTCAAGCTCCAGTGAGGCCAATAAATAAATAAAGTAGTTAAAATGCGTCCTCAAGTGTCCTGGGTAGTATTCATTTCATTCTATCCTAATAGGTTGGGGTGTGATTCCCCACATGACCTGTTTGAGAAGCACCTCGGGAGCGTGTGCGGCATGCAAGCAGCAGGGACTACCCACAGAATCTCCAGGGGGAGCTAGAGTCTTAGATTTCTTGTAATTGTTTTGTTGTTTGCTTTCTTTGCGGTGCTGGTGGCCAACTCAGGAACTCACACCTGCTGAAAGAGTTCTACCACCAAACCACACCCCCAGTCCCAGAGCCTTCACTCGTATGTGCTCCCCAGGTACTGGGCATATACACAAAAATTAGAGAATCTATGCTCAAGGCTTAAACTTCATTGACTTTGCAGATTTTGATCATTATCCCATCTTCATTGCTCACCTAAGTGGTAGCACTGACAGCATCTATTGAATGCCTACTGTGTGCTAGGCACTGTTCCAGGCAACAAGGAAAACAGAAAAGACCCGGTGGCTCATGCCTGTAATCCTAGCTACTCAGGAGGCAGAGCTCAGGAGGTTCAAGGTTCGAAGCCAGCCAGGGCAAATAGTTCTGAGAGACCCTCATGGTATAGGCCCTGAGTTCAAGCCCCAGTGCTGCGAAAGAAAGAAAACAAAAAAGGCAGGCCAGGCACAGTGACTCACGCCTGCAATCCTAGTTACTTAGGAGGTAGAGATCAAGAGGATCACAGCTGGAGTAGTGAGACCCCCATCTCAACCAATAGCTGGGTATGGTGGCATTCATGTCAGCTACTGGGGAAACGAAAATAGGAGGATCAGAGTCCAGGCCAGCCATGGCTGATTGTGGATCAAGTGGTAGAGCTAGCAAGTGCAAAACCCTGAGTTCAAAGCCCAGTAATACCACTAGTCCCCCTAAAAAAGCACTGCCCTGTATTCTAGAAGGAGGCAGATAATAAACCAAATGCACAGGTAATAATATACATAGTACACAGAGGTTCTATAAAAGGAAATCAGCTACTGTTTTAACTTTGATGCTCAGGGAAGGCAACATGAGGTAACATTTGAGCCAAGATCTGCAAGGGCTGAGGGAGGGAATCATGAAGATATCATGAGGGCTTTCCAGAGAGGGAGAAAGCAAGTGCGAAACCCATGTGGAATCATGATTAGCATGTTTAAGGAACTTCGAGAACCGGTATGGCTGGGACAAACTGAGCTAGCAGGAGGACAGTAAGAGGTGGAATCAGGCTGGGAGCTATGGCTCCTGCTCGTAATCCCGGCTACTTGGAAGGCCATAGGTAAGAGGAGCATGGTCTGAGGCCAGGCCCAAAAAACTTATCCTATGAGAAAAAATAAAGCAAAAAATAGCTAGGGCTGGGGCTTAAGTGGTAGAGTGCCAGCCAGCAAGCATGAGTTCGAATCCTGTTACAACACCTCACACCTTAAAAAGAGAAATAGATGGGTGTAAGATGAGGCCTGGAGCAGGAAAGGAACCCCCTCCTCCAGTACGAAAGCATATTTTCCCTCCCCCTTCTTCCCTGACAAACACTGGGCCTTACAGGAGGTTTTCTGCACCCCCTACACTCCCCCCCAAGCAAGGTTTTGCACTTTTCCATTCTCTTTCTGTCCGACCTCATGGATAGGGACATTTTGCACCCCGCCCCCCAGGCCAAGGCTCCCTGGGTGGCTCCTCCCACTTGCTTCCTGGATGAATCTTCCTCTCAAACAGCTGCTCCCCTAAACATCTGCTCTACAGCCCTCAGCTGCTTCCAAGGTAGTGATGTATCTGCAGAGATATGGGGGCCTGGTTGTTTCTATGTAGTCTTTTGGGCTGGGGGAGTGGAGACAGCTCCCACCTGCCAGGACACCCTAGGGAAGGACAGTCATTGCCCTTCCAGCAGCTGGCAAGTAAGAATCTGAATTTACCCCACCTCCCACCCAGCCACCCAGGGCTCTACCTTAGCCTCATCCCTGAGAGTGCCCTCAAGGTCCCTCCCTTCCCTGACCCTCTCCCCTGACTTCTTCAGCTGTACTTCTGGATGGCTCCTATTTGCTCTGGGTCTCCCCTACTCACAGGTTTTGAGATGAGGCTGCCCACCCTGTCTCTGCCTTCATGCATCTCACCCACTCCCTGCCCAAGCCCTGAAGGTTGGCTTTGCTCCCCATCCCCATCTCTCTCCCATGCCCCGAGCAGTTCTGCCAACTCCAACTGTGCCTGTCTGTCTCAGTCCTTATCTTTCTTCCCCTCCCTGCAACATCTGGCCCTTTTAGTCACTTCCTCTCTCCTTGACTCCCTTGACACTGCATCCTCCTGTTTTTCGAAGTGCACATCTGGCTGAATCAGTTGAAGACCATGGAGGACTGCTTATTCAGCCCCTCCCTGCCTGGTCAGGGCCGCTTGTTCTACACGTGAGGTCACAGCCCCTGAACCCTTTCCTTCTCTGACACCAGGCTCTCCCTGGACTTTAGCCTATGTTGTTCCCTCTGCCAGAAACCTTCTTTTTTCTTCTTCCTCACCTTCCTATCCATGGAGCGGAGATGGTGGATGCCTTCTCTCACTCCACGTGGCTGGCATGGGCACACCTGAGGCCTCTCAATGTCACTGCCACTTCCCTATTAGACTATTGGTAGGAGGATTGGGGGGGCATGGTTCAAGTGGTAGAGCACCTGCCTAGCAAGTGCAAGTCTGAATTCAAACCCCAGTACCACCACCACCAAAAAAACCCAAAAAACCAAAAAACACCCTTTTAGATAGTTGGCTCCTTATAGCTGGGGACGTGCTCTGTCCATTTATGGTAGAACTGCAGATTCAATAACAGGACAAACTTTATCTGAAATTCACATTTAATCAGGTATCCCATATTTTCATATGCTAGGTTTGGAGCCCTAAATGCTGTACCTCTAGGGTCCAGCAGGTACCTGGTCGAGAGCAGGCACTCAATAAATGTCAGGTGAAAGAAAAACAGGCAGGGATGGCGGCAGGCACAGGTGCTATTATGGGTCACAAAGGATCAATAGCAGGCTCCCTAGAGGAGGTGACACCTGAGCCAGAGCAGATGGAGACATTAGGTCATGGTATCAGCCAGCCCCTCCACGGTGATGCCTCCTGTGGTGGGTTGAGTAAAGTGTCCCCAAATCCTCCAAGTCCAAGTCCTAACCCTGTCATACCTGTGACTGTAACCTTATTTGGAAATTGCTATGGTTTGGGTATGATTTAGTTTGACCCCCAAAGGGTTTATATGTTGGAAGCTTGATTCCCAGTGTGGCAATGGTGGGAGGGGTGGGACCTTTAAGAGGTGGAGCTTAATGTAAGGTAATTAGGCCATTGGGGGCACTGACTTGGAAGGGATTAAGGTACTTTTCTTATTAGCATTATTTTTTTTGGGGGGGGTGGGACTGGGGTTTGAATTTAGGGCTTTGCACTTGCAAAACAGGGGCTCTAACACTTGAGCCACACCTCCAGTCCATTTTGCTCTGGTTATTTTGGAGATAGAGGTTTCTCAAACTATTTGCCTGGCTGACCTTGAAATGAAATCCTCCTGATCTCAGCCTCCTGAGTATCTGTGATTACAAGTGTGAGTCTCCAGCACCTGGCCACAGTACTTCTCTTGGGATCCAAGTTACTGGGTTGTAATGAAAGAGCAAGACTGGCCCCTACCTGGTCTCTTTGGTTTCCTGTTTTGCCATGTGATCTCTCCTTGCATGTGTTTCTGCCCTGAAGGCCAAACTAATGAAGTTGACTGATCTTGGAATTCAGCCTCTAAAACTGTGATCTGAATCAACAACTTTTCTACATAAACTACCCAGCCTCAGGTATTTTGTTATAGGAATAGAAAAATGGACTAATATATAGACATAAACTAAACATCTTGGGATAATGTCCCTCTTATTTAGGGTGGGCCGTAAACATAATGGAGAAAGGAGAGGGAATCACACACACACACACACACACACACACACACACACACACATAAGATGGCCATATGAAGATAGAAAGCAGAGATTCTAATGAGGCAGCTATAGCCCAAGAACGCCAAGGAGAAAACATGGAGTGGATTTTCCCTCAGCACCTCCAAGTGGAACCAACCTCACCAACAAATTGGGTCTTCT